ATTTTATATTAATCATGTTAAACGTTTGTCAAAAATTAAGCTAAGAGATTTTCAATTGGAATAAGTACTTTTTCTAAGTGATGGATTGAAAAGATCTTTAAAGTAATGGGACGTGAAAAGGTTTGTTAGCGTTTATTTTAAATTTTTCCATTTTACTGACCATTTGTTGTTAATGAAAGGTTTAGCGTGTTACGATGATATTAGAACTTCTGCACAGGATATCAGTATACTTAGCAATCAAGTAAATAATTGCTTAAATTATAGTATTAAGAGGGCGTCACAGTAGAAAAAAATCGACCGTAAAACATGCTTTCGTACTTCCAATAGTTCTCAGGCCTCGTTGATCGTAGAAACATGATTTTGGTATCAAAATAATCACGAGAAGTTGTACTAAATATTCTTGGAACAGATTTTTGATATCTAAATTTGCCGATTTTATATAATTTTTTTAAAAAAATGAAAATTTTACAAATTTCAAACACAAATAAAATTGGTTAGAAAAAATATTTTAAAATTCTGTTCCAAGAATATTTAGTACAACTTCTCGTGATTATTTTGATACCAAAATCATGTTTCTACGATCAACGAGGCCTGAGAACTATTGGAAGTACGAAAGCATGTTTTACGGTCGATTTTTTTCTACTGTGACGCCCTCTTAATACTATAATTTAAGCAATTATTTACTTGATTGCTAAGTATACTGATATCCTGTGCAGAAGTTCTAATATCATCGTAACACGCTAAACCTTTCATTAACAACAAATGGTCAGTAAAATGGAAAAATTTAAAATAAACGCTAACAAACCTTTTCACGTCCCATTACTTTAAAGATCTTTTCAATCCATCACTTAGAAAAAGTACTTATTCCAATTGAAAATCTCTTAGCTTAATTTTTGACAAACGTTTAACATGATTAATATAAAATCCAAATTGAAATAATTTCTAAATATCACATTACATCTACTTTGTCCTATATTAAATTTAAACTTCTAATTTACAAATTTATGCTATAACCGATATGGGTAATAGTATACAGATATGGCATTGTACCAAACCATCGAAAATTCAAAACAATCCAGACTTTAAGTCAATATTCCTCCGACTAATAGCCTCTGTTCTGTGATATCTATATATTAAACAGCACACTATTATCTAATAAAACTTTGTTTTACGAAAATAAAATAAAAATTGCTTAACTAAAATTCCAAAAAGTTCATATTATGTGGCATATACCCGGAAAATTAATTATATTATGTTCTTAAGACTTTTATCGAGTAAGTAGGTATACATAACTCGTGAATCTAAGTTTAAACTTTTATTAACTTAAAATAATGTAAAATATATTTTCTGAGTTCAAATTAAACTATAACTTTTGATTTTAAACAATGTATGATTCAAGCCATTGAATTTATTTTTGAAATACTCGTAATCAATATTCCATGTTGTTATTATCATCATTCTTAAAATATATGGCATAAAGTTCAATAATGAATAATGTTTATAATAATGGCTAAAAATACAAATAAAATAAAGATGTTTGTTTAACCGAGCAAACAATTTTTTTACTGATTTTAAAGAAAGAAGTCCGAAATGTAAAATTTCTATGAATAATTTTAAAAAATCAAAATATTTAGAAAATTATGCTATGCACAGAAAATTTCAATAAAAAATATTTGGTATAAATTTGAAATATCTACAGGTATTCATTTGTTATTTATACTCAACAAAATAATAAAATCCTAGACCAGAACTGTATCTCTTTAGTATTATTAATTACTTACAATCAGTCTAATGACCCAAAATATATTCTTTAAAAACTAATGGGAGGAAATTATTATTTAATAATATCTATACTTTAATGACCGTTCCAGACATTACATTTTTTTTACTTATTGATAATTTTACTGATCATGTTCTAAGAACAATATAATTTTGTTATATAAATAATACTACATTGCCATAATGGTATTATTATATTAAATAAAATATTCAAGGTATAAATAATCACCTATGTACAACTTTATTGTTAATATATATTGAAAAACGCGTATATTATTGCTTATTATTAGGGTACAATAGTTATAAGAGCTAAAAAGGCAAAATGTACACGTAAAAATTATAAAAATATACGTAAGAAAAAGTTAAATATGTAAAAAGATTTTGCAAAAAATTATTTAAAATGTTAAAAGTAAACATCTAATATAACAAATTATATGTACAAAAACAAATATAAGATATGGAAAAATAAATTTAGAATTAAAATATAATGGAAAACTGATTGACATTTTAATATCTTATTGAAATGAAAAAATAATTTAAAAAATACTATCCAACATCAATTGTGTATACCTACAGCAACTTTACTAATGAATAAACAATAGATTTACGATAAGTTAATATTTCGGCAAGTATTAGCATATTAATAATTAAATACACATTGCGCCGTTGTCGTTAAATAGTCGATTGCAACAATGACAATAACTACTTTAAATAATATTGATTATAAAATTCAATATTATTTAAAATACATAGGTTAAAAAAAAAATCATTTTTTTTTAAAAAATATTAATTATGTGATAAAAATTAATGACATACGTATGTAATTTTTTTCCTAAAACTGATGAAACATGCAAAATATGAATTTTCAATTTTCAATTCACTATTATATTGCTAGAATTTCTTGCTTGTAAATCTATTATAAATTGAGAGCTTATAGAAAATACAGAATTTCAATGATTTTCGAGCTTTATACTTATTATAAATCTTTTTTCTTTTAGCAAATTATAATATGATAATGTATGGTACAAGCTATTTTTTTTACAGTATTTTAAATTTTATTCTATTGGAATTTTCATTGTAATA